ACACCCAGTAACACCACACACCCAGTAACACCACACACCCAGTAACACCACACACCCAGTAACACCACACACCCAGTAACACCACACACCCAGTAGCACCACACCCAGTAGCACCACACCCAGTAACACCACACACCCAGTAACACCACTCCCAGTACCACCACACCCAGTACCACCACACCCAGTACCACCACACCCAGTACCACCACTCCCAGTAACACCACACACCCAGTAACACCACACACCCAGTAACACCACACACCCAGTAACACCACACCCAGTAACACCACACTCCCAGTAACACCACACTCCCAGTAACACCACACACCCAGTAACACCACACACCCAGTAACACCACACACCCAGTAACACCACACACCCAGTAACACCACACACCCAGTAACACCACACACCCAGTAACACCACACACCCAGTAACACCACACACCCAGTAACACCACACCCAGTAACACCACACACCCAGTAACACCACACACCCAGTAACACCACACACCCAGTAACACCACACACCCAGTAACACCACACCCAGTACCACCACACCCAGTACCACCACACCCAGTACCACCACACCCAGTAACACCACACACCCAGTAACACCACACACCCAATAACACCACACACCCAGTAACACCACACCCAGTAACACCACACACCCAGTAACACCACACACCCAGTACCACCACACCCAGTACCACCACACCCAGTAACACCACACTCCCAGTAACACCACACTCCCAGTAACACCACACACCCAGTAACACCACACACCCAGTAACACCACACACCCAGTACCACCACACCCAGTAACACCACACACCCAGTACCACCACACACCCAGTAACACCACACACCCAGTAACACCACACACCCAGTACCACCACACCCAGTACCACCACACCCAGTACCACCACACCTCTCGGTGAATAACAATCCTGTATCGAAGTCATGACGAACATCTTCGAGGATAGTGACGATGAACAGAGTACGAATAACAACAAGAGGTCTAACAACTAGTAGTTAACAACAAGAGGTTTAACAACACCAACGTATAAGACCGCCACAGGGTTGTGACCTAGCAACTCGGTCCCACCGTCTCCGGTGTTCTCCTCCCCCCCCCCCGGGGCGAGGTCTTCATCTACACCCTGAGCAAGAGGAAGCAGCTGGGAGACGCGGGGTTGTGTGACAAGGTATGTATATATTTTTAGGAGGGGGTCTTAGGAGGGGGTCTTAGGAGGGGGTCTTAGGAGGGGGGTCTTTGGATGGGGGTCTTAGGAGGGGGTCTTAGGATGGGGTCTTAGGATGGGGGTCTTAGGATGGGGGTCTTAGGAGGGGGGTCTTTGGAGGGGGGTCTTAGAAGGGGGGTCTTTGGAGGGGGGGTCTTTGGAGGGGGGTCTTTGGAGGGGGTCTTAGGAGGGGGGTCTTTGGAGGGGGTCTTTGGAGAGGGGTCTTAGTAGGGGGTCTTAGGAGAGAGGTCTTAGGAGGGGGGTCTTAGGATTGAGGTCTTTGGAGGGGGTCTTTGGAGGGGGTCTTTGGAGGGGGTCTTTGGAGGGGGTCTTTGGAGGGGGGTCTTTGGAGGGGGGTCTTAGGAGGGGGGTCTTTGGAGGGGGGTCTTTGGAGGGGGGTCTTAGGAGGGGGGTCTTAGGAGGGGGGTCTTAGGAGGGGGGTCTTAGGAGGGGGGTCTTAGAAGGGGGTCTTTGGAGGGGGGTCTTTGGAGGGGGGTCTTTGGAGGGGGGTCTTAGGAGGGGGGTCTTAGGAGGGGGTCTTTGGAGGGGGGTCTTAGGAGGGGGGTCTTAGGAGGGGGTCTTTGGAGGGGGGTCTTTGAAGGGGGGTCTTTGGAGAGGGGTCTTAGGAGGGAGGGTCTTAGGATGAGGGGGGTCTTAGGATGGGGTCTTAGGAGGGGGGGTCTTAGGAGGGGGGGTCTTAGGAGGGGGGTCTTAGGAGGGGGGTCTTAGGAGAGGGTCTTTGGAGGGGGGTCTTAGGAGGGGTCTTAGAAGGAAGACTAAGTCTCACAAGCAATGAATTTTGACAAAGCCTTGACACAGTAGCGGTTTGGAAAAATGCATTGATTCACGTAACTATTTTTCCTAGCGCGTTGTCAGGTATACGCCCCCCACAACAGTGGCCTAACTCCCAGGTACCTATTTACTGCTAGGTGAACAGAGGCATCAGGTTTAAGGTTTCCAGAGGCCAACTATACTGATCTAACCCCAGACTGCAACCCGCAACAGTTGGCTAACTCCTGGGTACCTATAACACTCCTTTATGAACAGGTTAATCAGGTGAAAGGAAAACGTGCTCAATCGTTTCTGTCCTGCCCGGAAAGCGAACCCAGGATCATTGATTGTGAGTCGAGGAGGATAAATGACTCACTATAGACTCAGAGGTTTTAATCGTCAATTACAATAGAATATGATTACAAAAAATGATAAATTATTTTCCTGAATAACTATGCCAATATAACTCAGTATAATATAACCAAGGACAATGTAACTCAGTATAATATAACCAGGGGCAATATAACTAAGTATAATATAACCAGGGACAATATAACTCAGTATAATATAACCAGGGACAATATAACTCGGTATAATTATAACCAGGGACAATATAACTCGGTATAATTATAACCAGGACAATACAACTCAGTATAATTATATCCAGGACAATATAACTCAGTATAATTATAACCAGGGACAATATAACTCGGTATAATTATAACCAGGGACAATATAACTCAGTATAATTATAACCAGGACAATATAACTCAGTATAATACAACCAGGGACAATATAACTCAGTATAATTATAACCAGGGACAATATAACTCAGTATAATTATAACCAGGGACAATATAACTCGGTATAATTATAACCAGGACAATATAACTCAGTATAATATAACCAGGGACAATATAACTCAGTATAATACAACCAGGGACAATATAACTCAGTATAATTATAACCAGGGACAATATAACTCAGTATAATACAACCAGGGACAATATAACTCAGTATAATATAACCAGGGACAATATAACTCAGTATAATACAACCAGGGACAATATAACTCAGTATAATACAACCAGGGACAATATAACTCAGTATAATTATAACCAGGACAATATAACTCAGTATAATTATAACCAGGGACAATATAACTCAGTATAATTATAACCAGGACAATATAACTCAGTATAATACAACCAGGGACAATATAACTCGGTATAATTATAACCAGGGACAATATAACTCAGTATAATACAACCAGGGACAATATAACTCAGTATAATACAACCAGGGACAATATAACTCAGTATAATTATAACCAGGGACAATATAACTCAGTATAATACAACCAGGGACAATATAACTCAGTATAATACAACCAGGGACAATATAACTCAGTATAATACAACCAGGGACAATATAACTCAGTATAATACAACCAGGGACAATATAACTCGGTATAATACAACCAGGGACAATATAACTCAGTATAATTATAACCAGGGACACTATAACTCAGTATAATACAACCAGGGACAATATAACTCAGTATAATATAACCAGGGACAATATAACTCAGTATAATACAACCAGGGACAATATAACTCAGTATAATATAACCAGGGACAATATAACTCAGTATAATTATAACCAGGGACAATATAACTCAGTATAATACAACCATCGACAATATAACTCAGTATAATACAACCAGGGACAATATAACTCAGTATAATTATAACCAGGGACAATATAACTCAGTATAATACAACCAGGGACAATATAACTCAGTATAATACAACCAGGGACAATATAACTCAGTATAATATAACCAGGGACAATATAACTCAGTATAATTATAACCAGGGACAATATAACTCAGTATAATACAACCAGGGACAATATAACTCAGTATAATACAACCAGGGACAATATAACTCAGTATAATTATAACCAGGGACAATATAACTCAGTATAATACAACCAGGGACAATATAACTCAGTATAATACAACCAGGGACAATATAACTCAGTATAATATAACCAGGGACAATATAACTCAGTATAATTATAACCAGGGACAATATAACTCAGTATAATACAACCAGGGACAATATAACTCAGTATAATACAACCAGGGACAATATAACTCAGTATAATTATAACCAGGGACAATATAACTCAGTATAATACAACCAGGGACAATATAACTCAGTATAATACAACCAGGGACAATATAACTCAGTATAATACAACCAGGGACAATATAACTCAGTATAATATAACCAGGGACAATATAACTCAGTATAATACAACCAGGGACAATATAACTCAGTATAATACAACCAGGGACAATATAACTCAGTATAATATAACCAGGGACAATATAACTCAGTATAATACAACCAGGGACAATATAACTCAGTATAATACAACCAGGGGCAATATAAAGCCAAATAACTGATCTTCACCTAAGTCTTTAGTGGTTTTTCAGAAACCCCCAAAATTGATCTGATCAACGAGACCAGAATTCTCACTCGCCAAACTTTCCTTGCAACATAAATGTACTCTTCCTGAAAATAAATTTCCTTGTCAACAGAATGCTTCCTTGTGGAAAATGGTCAACAAAATATCTTTTATGCGGCAACAATTCTTTACCCACAACATTCCGTGACAATAATTTACACTTTCTAGCTGTCTTTTAGACCAAATTGTTGTCTTAGGGTGTAAAAGTTTCTTTAAACTTTATTATGAATAGTATTAATCCCCAAAAATAATGCTATTTGACAAATAAGGATCCTCTGGGTCGTACGCTTGACTAGGTATGGATTCCGTGCTTGAGCTGCATACTCTAGGGTTGGTCTGACATATGTGGGAGTCGTACCATTAACGTTTGTGTCATTAAAATGTTTCTTTCACCTGCGAGATACTTCACAGAATCTTATGATTGCTTCAACGGCAAGCAGGAAGTCAGATGTCAGCAGGAAGTCAGGTGTCAGCAGGAAGTCAGATGTCAGCAGGTAGTCAGATGTCAGCAGGTAGTCAGATGTCAGCAGGTAGTCAGATGTCAGCAGGTAGTCAGATGTCAGCAGGTAGTCAGATGTCAGCAGGAAGTCAGATATCAGCAGGAAGTCAGATGTTAGCAGGAACTCAGATGTCAGCAGGAAGTCAGATGTCAGCAGGAAGTCAGATGTCAGCAGGAAGTCAGCTGTCAGCAGGTAGTCAGATGTCAGCAGGAAGTCAGATATCAGCAGGAAGTCAGATATCAGCAGGTAGTCAGATGTTAGCAGGAAGTCAGATATCAGCAGGAAGTCAGATGTCAGCAGGTAGTCAGATGTCAGCAGGAAGTCAGATGTCAGCAGGAAGTCAGATGTCAGCAGGTAGTCAGATGTCAGCAGGAAGTCAGATATCAGCAGGAAGTCAGATATCAGCAGGTAGTCAGATGTTAGCAGGAAGTCAGATATCAGCAGGAAGTCAGATATCAGCAGGTAGTCAGATATCAGCAGGAAGTCAGATATCAGCAGGTAGTCAGATATCAGCAGGTAGTCAGATATCAGCAGGAAGTCAGATATCAGCAGGTAGTCAGATGTCAGCAATAAGCAGTACTCACACTTTCTCAGCAGGAGGGACGGGGGGGAGGGGGGGGGGGGGAAGGAATAGTTTTCAACCACTTGTGAACGCTCGGTGATTGAACACCGACCAGCATGAAGCGAGACTGTCGCTCTACCGTCCAACCCAAGTGGTTACTACCCACTGTGGAGCTACCCACTGTGGAGCTACCCACTGTTTAGCTACCCACTGGCGACCTACCCACTGTGGAGCTACCCACTGTGGAGCTACCCACTGTGGAGCTACCCACTGTGGAGCTACCCACTGGCGACCTACCCACTGTGGAGCTACCCACTGGGGAGCTACCCACTGGGGACCTAGCCACTGGGGACCTAGCCACTGGGGACCTAGCCACTGGGGACCTTGCCACTGGGGACCTAGCCACTGGGGACCTAGCCACTGGGGACCTACCCACTGGGGACCTAGCCACTGGGGACCTACCCACTGGGGACCTAGCCACTGGGGACCTTGCCACTGGGGACCTAGCCACTGGGGACCTAGCCACTGGGGACCTAGCCACTGGGGAGCTACCCACTGGGGAGCTACCCACTGGGGACCTAGCCACTGGGACCTAGCCACTGGGGACCTACCAACTGGAGACCTAGCCACTGGGGAGCTACCCACTGGGGAGCTACCCACTGGGGAGCTACCCACTGGGGAGCTACCCACTGGGGACCTACCCACTGGGGAGCTACCCACTGGGGACCTACCCACTGGGGACCTACCCACTGGGGACCTAGCCACTGGGGAGCTAGCCACTGGGGAGCTACCCACTGGGGACCTAGCCACTGGGGAGCTAGCCACTGGGGAGCTAGCCACTGGGGACCTACCCACTGGGGACCTAGCCACTGGGGAGCTAGCCACTGGGGAGCTACCCACTGGGGACCTACCCACTGGGGAGCTAGCCACTGGGGACCTAGCCACTGGGGAGCTAGCCACTGGGGACCTAGCCACTGGGGAGCTAGCCACTGGGGACCTAGCCACTGGGGAGCTAGCCACTGGGGACCTAGCCACTGGGGAGCTACCCACTGGGGACCTAGCCACTGGGGAGCTAGCCACTGGGGACCTACCCACTGGGGAGCTAGCCACTGGGGACCTAGCCACTGGGGAGCTAGCCACTGGGGAGCTAGCCACTGGGGACCTAGCCACTGGGGAGCTACCCACTGGGGACCTAGCCACTGGGGACCTACCCACTGGGGACTTACCCACTGGGGACCTAGCCACTGGAGACCTACCCACTGGGGACTTACCCACTGGGGACCTACCCACTGGGGACCTACCCACTGGGGACCTAGCCACTGGGGACCTAGCCACTGGGGAGCTAGCCACTGGGGACCTAGCCACTGGGGACCTACCCACTGGGGAGCTACCCACTGGGGAGCTACCCACTGGGGACCTAGCCACTGGGGAGCTAGCCACTGGGGACCTACCCACTGGGGAGCTAGCCACTGGGGACCTACCCACTGGGGACCTACCCACTGGGGAGCTACCCACTGGGGACCTACCCACCGGGGACCTACCCACTGGGGACCTACCCACTGGGGACCTACCCACTGGGGAGCTACCCACTGGGGACCTACCCACCGGGGACCTACCCACTGGGGACCTACCCACTGGGGACCTACCCACTGGGGACCTACCCACTGGGGACCTACCCACTGGGGACCTACCCACTGGGGATATAGTATATTTTCCCATCATATTCACGCTTGTGTCATTTTCATTTACAAATAAATTCTGTTATTAAACACACTGCTTCCAGAGGCTCGCGGCGCGGAGGGTAATTCACACGGGGACAGGCAGCTTAATTAGTGGGAAACACTTTATCCAATTAGTGCCCCAACAACTGCTGTGTGCCAGCCCCACTACCCCCTTCCATCCCCCCTTCTCCTACCCCCTAGCATCCTCCCCCCCTCCCCCCCCTCCCATTAGCCATCAGGGAGCTGCCCCGTCGTCAGGAAGTTGCTTAATGACTATTGGATTGATTAATTTCAAGAGGTGTTGGACAGAGGAGGCGCGGGTCACTACAAGCTCTCAACAGCATCAATAGAGCCACGAGGGCTCTCCCGGGCAAGGGATTTAGGATTTAGAGGATTTAGTAGCGCTGCTAAATCCAAGATACGATAAAGTTCTTAGGATTTGGCGCCAGATTCACGAAGCAGTTACGCAAGCACTTACGAACCTGTACATCTTTTCTCAATATTTGGCGGCTTTGTTTACAGTTATTAAACAGTTAATGAGCTCGGAAGCACCAGGAGGCTGTTTATAACAATAACAACAGTTGATTGGCAAGTTTTCATGCTTGTAAACTGTTTAATAAATGTAACCAAAGCCGTCAATGATTGAGGGTAGATGAACACGTTCGAAACTGCTTGCGTAACTGCTTCGTGAATCTTACCCTTGGTCCGAGGACGTGTTGTTACACAATCATTTACGAAACCTGTACATCTTTCGTCAATTATAGCGGCTTTATTCTCATTAAACAATTTATCAGCTACGAAGCACTACGAGGTGTTTATACTAATAATAACCATGGGTTGGGAAGTTTAAAAGCTCGTAAACTGTTTGATAAATGTAAATAAAGCCGCCACGATTAAAGAAAGATGTACAGGTTTCGTAAGTGGTAGCGTAAATGCTTGATGAATCGTGGTTCAGGTAGGAATAACCAACTCATTTTCACCTTGTCAAATTGTGAGAAGATAATTTCTCACGTTAATTACAGAAACCTGCAGAAGACCTATTGACCCACACGAGGCCGCTCCTGTTTATATCTGCACAAACTCATGTACCTATATGTCTAACCTACGCTTGAAACAATCCAACGATCCTGAGTCTAATTCTGTCTTCCAGTAATGTATTTCATAATACAACAACGCTGTTTCAAACACGTGTTCACCCAGGTCTTTCCAGTATTTACCCAGGTCTTGCCAGTATTTACCCAGGTCTTGCCAGTATTTACCCAGGTCTTGCCTGTATTTACCCAGGTCTTGCCAGTATTTACCCAGGTCTTGCCAGTATTTACCCAGGTCTTGCCTGTATTTACCCAGGTCTTGCCTGTATTTACCCAGGTCTTGCCAGTATTTACCCAGGTCTTGCCTGTATATGAAAGTCTCAATTGTACCGTATTCTATTTCTGTGTATATATTTAAGCAATATCTCCATTATTATACCCTTTCATCCATTTATATATCTAAATGCTGTCAGCCAATTTTCGTATGGTGGAATCGAACCTGGGCCTCTGGACCCCCCAGACACACGCACTACCGACTGGACCATGATGATAGGGCGTGGGCCTGGCGGGGCCCAGGAACGCGGGGTTCGAACCAACAGCACGGCCACAATATATTCTCACGGATTAATCACACTGTAGTGACTCCACTCAGCACCATCAACTCAGTAACTAAATCAGTAAGAAAGAAATTCGCAATAATTCTAAATAGTCAGGAATTAAGAGGATAAAGAGCTCGTTACCTGACTAATTCTCAGATTGTAATATCAGGAAACTGAATTAAGTCACTGTAATGAGAGGAGAGCTGCCAGAGCTCACTCTGAGCTCCCTAGGCTCACTCCGACCTCCCAGGGCTCACTCTGAGCTCCCTAGGCTCACTCCAACCTCCCAGGGCTCACTCTGAGCTCCCTAGGCTCACTCCGAAATGCCAGGGCTCACCCTGTGCTTCCAGGGCTCACTCTGAGCTAACAGGGCTCACTCTGAGCTAACAGGGCTCACTCTGAGCTGCCAGGGCTCACTCTGAGCTGCCAGGGCTCACTCTGAGCTGCCAGGATTTACTCTGAGCTGCCAGGGGCTCACTCTGAGCTCCCAGGGCTCACTCTGAGCTCCCAGGGCTCACTCTGAGCTACCAGGGCTTACTCTGAGCTCCCAGGGCTCACTCCGAGATGCCAGGGCTCACTCTGAGCTCATCAGTCAAGTCGGCGCTCCGTCGGGATTGATATAAAATACAGCTTCAATGTTCCAAGCTTTTAAATTCCATCAGAGCGCCACGGCATGCTGGAGATAATTCTGCTCAGTCGTAGAGCTAATTTAGCTCTATGACCGTCCGTAACTACGGACCGGTGGTGTAGTTATGGACCGGTGGTGGAGCTGCGGACCGGTGGTGTAGTTATGGACCGGTGGTGGAGCTGCGGACCGGTGGTGGAGCTGCGGACCGGTGGTGGAGCTGTGGACCGGTGGTGGAGCTGCGGACCGGTGGTGTAGCTGCGGACCGGTGGTGGAGCTGTGGACCGGTGGTGGAGCTGCGGACCGGTGGTGTAGCTGCGGACCGGTGGTGTAGCTGCGGACCGGTGGTGGAGCTGCGGACCGGTGGTGGAGCTGCGGACCGGTGGTGGAGCTGCGGACTGGTCGTAGAGCTACGGACCGGTCGTATAGCTACGGCCCGGTCGTATAGCTACGGCCCGGTCGTAGAGCTACGGCCCGGTCGTATAGCTACGGCCCGGTCGTAGAGCTACGGACCGGTCGTATAGCTACGGACCGGTCGTAGAGCTACGGACTGCTCGTAGAGCTACGGACCGGTCGTAGAGCTACGGCCCGGTCGTAGAGCTACGGCCCGGTCGTATAGCTACGGCCCGGTTGTATAGCCACGGACCGGTTGTATAGCTACGGACCGGTCGTATAGCTACGGCCCGGTCGTACAGCTACGGACCGGTCGTAGAGCTACGGACCGGTCGTGCAGCTACGGACCGGTCGTATAGCTACGGACCGGTCGTAGAGCTACGGACCGGTCGTAGAGCTACGGACTGGTCGTGGATATACTGAGAGGTAAGGGTGATCCAATAGTTACGACCATTTTCTTCACGGGTTATAACTTAGAATATTTAAATTTAAAGTTAATTTAGAATTTAATTTAAAAGAATTTAAAAAAAAATTATTTAATTTATTTAATTTATGAATTTAATTAAATTTAAAATTTAAAAAAGAAAAAAAAGAAAGAAATGAAAAAAGAATTTAAAGTTATTCAATGTCAACCAAACTTTTTTCACTGTATATGGAAAGAGCTGCGACTGTTCCAAGATTTAATATAGCAGCCTAAGGAAAAAGAAAGGAAAAAATATTATTTTTCAACGAATTTTCTCCATTTTCAGAAAATTAATTACAACCACAAGTTTCAAAGGAAATTATTTCTATGACACTCGCCTATCACATTAGTATATAATAAAGGATTTGTATTACGGGATTTTCTAAAATATGTTCAGTTTCATTATTACAAATACTAAAATTTCAACAATTTAAATTTCAATTTGATGCAAAAATATTATGTATATAAATATTTAACAAATCAATAAATGAACTTAGGAATAAAGTATATTAGATTTATTGTAGAGACATAAACTCGACATATAAGGTGTACCTTTCATGTAAATTGAATATAAAATTCAATTTACATGAAAGGTACATGAATCAAAATTCAATTTTGATTCACTATTGCGTTACTTGGAAAAAAATTAAAAAATCCTGCCACCTGTAACTGAGGTTGACATCAATCAATTTCCTTCAAAATTGACACCCTTAAAGATTGACTCACGTTGAGTAAGGTGTATAAGTCTCATGCAGATCTTCCCAACCAAAAACGAGAAAAAATTATAGAAAGAAAAATATATATAATTTTTGTTTGCATTAACTAATTTTTTGGGATAAAAGTAATTATTAAAATCGTTTATTATCTGCTATTGTGATAGCAGAGAGTCATAGATATGATTTCAGTTGACACTTGTGTTTGATGAGCCGGTCGGCCGAACGGGAACGGGAGCCGGTCGGCCGAACGGGGAGCCGGTCGGCCGAACGGACAGCACGCTGGACTTGTGATCCTGTGGTCCCGGGTTCGATCCCAGGCGCCGGCGAGAAACAATGGGCAGAGTTTCTTTCACCCTATGCCCCTGTTACCTAGCAGTAAAATAGGTACCTGGGTGTTAGTCAGCTGTCACGGGCTGCTTCCTGGGGGTGGAGGCCTGGTCGAGGACCGGGCCGCGGGGACACTAAAGCCCCGAAATTATCTCAAGATAACCTCAAGATGTAAATTTTTTAACATTTTTGGAAATTTTTTGACACACTTAAATATTTTTTCTCCCTTCCTATTTACGCCACGATGCTCAGACTTGGAGCAAATGAAGCTCTTTCCTTATACAACTCGTCAAAAAAATTTGATTGAAATCGAACCAGTTTTCATTTATTGTATATTTTGCGTTATGGTCTCTTCAGAGCGGCGTACCTACCTTGAGATGGTGTCGGGGCTTAGCGTCCCCGCGGCCCGGTCCTCGACCAGGCCTCCTGCACAGGAGCTGTCGTTTAAAAGCCCTAAATATGGTTCGAGGTTCTGGTTATTTTAAGAAATGTTGTCCGGAAATGAAGCGAGTTGAGGCGAGGGAGAAAATGTTGTTGATATGACTGAAAAAAAATGCCGACTGTAAAAGAGGCCTCGAGTGAGAGGAAGTGTAGAGGAAATTATGTGCAACAGAGGCTTAGTGTGAGGGTGGGGGTGGGGGTGGGTGGGTGTGAGGGTGGGGGGGGTGTGAGGTGGGTGTGAAGGTGGGGGGGGGGGAGGTTGGGTGGGGAGGGTGGGGGCGTGAGGGTGGGGGGTGGGTATGAAAGTGGGGGTGGGGGGGTGGAGGTATATATATATATATAAACCTATATATACATGTTTATTTACATAAACGAAACCAGTTCATCTG